GGCACGGCCTCTTCACGATCACGGTAACCTCGGCGGCCTCGAGTGGGTGTACGTCAGCTGCCTCAAGGCCGGCGAGGGGCTCACCACCGTCCGCTCGCTCGGCTTCGTCAACAAGAAGAAGCCGCAGCCGCCGGCCTAGCAAGCAAGCTTGACCGAGCCGCATGGCCACCCCTAGCTCCACCCCGGCGGGCAAGGCAGGCCTCTCCATCGATGCCTCTCCATGGCATGCATGTGTGCTGAGCATTCTTTCCACACGTTGTTTTTCGTGCCAGTGATGCTCAAGTCCCCGCAAAATAGAATTCTTTTGGTTGGCTCTCTCCTTGCCGCTCCTCGTCCTTTTTAGCCCTTTTGCCAGCTCGCATTGCCAGCTCGCAGCCGCTCGACGTATCTACGTCCAGAATGGCTCCTCACGAGTCTCTGCCCTGGTGGCAGCTCTTTTCGCCCGCCGACCTTCCCATCGCGGTCATCGTGCTCGCAATCGGCTTCCACACCGAGGCAGCCAGGATCGGAGCCGTCCTCAAGGACCGGCAGACTCGTGCGGCCTTCTGCGCGACGCTCCTCACCACGCTGCTCATCGTGCCGCTAATCGCGATCTCCGCTGTCTGGATTGTGCCGCACGTGCCACCCGAGGGCGTCATCGGCATCCTCACCGTCGCTCTGCTGCCGGGTGGCCCGCTCGCCAATATCCTCGCGGTGGCCGTCGGCGCAAACTCCGAGCTCAACGTGACTCTCACGGTGGCGGAGATGATCCTGTCCACCGCTCTGCTGCCCCTCGGGCTGCTGGTGGTGATGCCGCGCGTCCTCGGCGCCGAGCAAGTCATCCGCGTCCCATTTAGTGAGATGGTGCACGGCATCGCCCTCGTGCTTGGGCCGATGCTGACTGGCGTCGCGGCGAGCAGCCTGACGCGGCTGGAGGGGCTCACCGCCGCGCGGAGGCGGGTCGTCAAGCGGAGGATCTTCCGCCTCCTCCTCCTCCTCGCCCTCCTCCTCGCCATCGCCGTCCGGCGGCTCCACACGAGCGGCCCGCCGCCTCTGTCGGCGCAGCTCACAGAGCTCTTGCGCTCCGCAGAGCTGCCGCCCGACGCGACGCTCCTCGCGGCGCCCCTCTTCGGCGTGGCGACCGTCGCCTGGTGCTGCCTCCTCGGCTGGACCATGCCCGCCCAGCCGATGCCCAACCGCATCTCCATCTGCCTCGAGGTTGGAACGCGAGACCTCACCATCGCGCTGGTCATCGCGCTGGTCGGGCTGCCGTCGCTGCCGGCCCCGCAGCGCGCGCAGGTGGCCCTCGCCGTCCTGCTCGCGTGGGCCACCTGCAACGGCGGCGTCGCCCTCTCCGGCTTCCTCATGTGCGCGCTGTCTGGGCCCGTCTGCTATGCCGACGCGGGTGGCGGGGACGGCGGAGGCGGAGGCGGCGCCAGGGGCGCGGACTGCGAGAGGGAGGAGCAGGAGGGGGAGCCGGACAAGCTCGCCCTCCGGACGAGCTTGCTCGAGGGGTCGGGCCGGAAGAGCGACGCGGAGGACGGCGCGGGACCGACCGGCGCGACGCTGGTGTGAGCCTGTGAGCGGTGCGTGGGTTGTTGCACGAGTATATGGGACACGATGTCTCAAATATGAGGGGTTTTGACTATTACCGCGGCTCCTGACGCTATCCCTGGCAGCTCTAATGACCAGGATCAGTAGTATTGTCATAGAGGGTGCCCATACTAGCGCAGGAGAGCTTTCTGCCACACTCGCCGCCCGGACCGTCCGCGTCCGCCGTCCCCTCTTCTGGGGCCGGTTCCGCAGCCAGCGAGAGCCGACCGCAGCGGGGCCGTGCCGCGGGTGCCTACTGCCGAGTGCCACGAACACTGCGCCGTCCCGCCATCACCTACAGACTGTCTTGTGTGATGGTTGGGATGTCCAAACGCCACCATCTTGGCTCTTGCGACCTCAAACCCGCGAGCTGTATGGCTGGTCCTGACGTCGACAGACGCCCGATGACCACGGTGAAGCTGAGCCGGAACGCGTCGACAAGTCTCGTCTGAGCCCGTGGCGGTCGCCGGCTGAGTCGCTGTGCACGGGCCGGTACCTCGGGCGTCACCTCCGCAGCCTCAGGTCTCACACTCCACCACCTCCGCCAGGACGCCTTCGGTGGCACGCTCGGCGGCGTACTTTCTGCAGCTCCATCTCGAGAACGGCGTCGAGCCTACTCACTCCTGCTGGATACACGCACTCCCTGGGACCCAGGGAGTGTGGTATCCAGCAAGCGGTGAGGGCCTCGAAGTCGCCCTCGGTCATCACGCCCGCCCCGCCTACTCCCCGCAGCAGCTCATCCGCGGCGATGGACAGGTCGCCCATCGTCAGCGGCGGCAGCTCGCGCCTGCCGGCGAGCGGCACGGCTCAGTGTCGTCTCGCCCCATCACACGCCAACGCCGCCGTCCTACTTGCCTCTTTCTCTCTCTTAGCGGGAGACGCGCGCCAGTGGCTGTCCGAATCGGCCGCGTCCGCCGCGTCGTTCACCGCCATCCCCGGCCGGCACCCGGTCTGCCGCGCGAAGCACAAGTAGGCGTTCATGATGAAGGCCACGTTCACCTCGAACGGCTCTATCAGCTGCGTGTCCTGCATCATTCTGGTACTCCCCCACTTGGAAGAGGTGCTGCCTCGTGCACGGCTTCGTCGTCGCCTCGCGCAGCTCGGCCATCGTCCGCCGGCTCGTCTCGGCGCTCGCCCTCTCGCTCGCCGCCCGCTGCGCCGCTTCACTCTGCCCGTGCGACGCCCTCTCCCGCGCCGCCTCGTGGCCCGCCGCCCGGCCGGCGGCTCCTGCCGCGTCCTTCATCCCGCCGCCGCCGCCGTCGTACAGCGACATCACCTGCTTGGTCACCAGCCGCCAGTACTGCCTCGCGTCGTCCGGCATCGCCGGCCAGATCTCGCGCCACACGTGGTTCTTCATGTGCTGCAGCGCGACGTAGATCGTGTTCTCGCCGCGACCCGTGCGCACTGTCGGCTCCTCCTCCCGCGCGTCGCCCCGCTCGGTCGCGTGCCACCGGCTCGCCCTCGGCGCGATGATTCGCGTCGTCGCCAGCCACTTGTGCCGAAGCGGATCGTCCACCGCATCGTCGGGTGCAGACCGAGGGCCGTCCGCTGCATCGGCACGCTCTTCCCCGCCGCGGCCTGCGTCGCCAAAAACTCGCGCAGCCGCAGGCGCACGCGCCGAAGCTGCACCGACAGCGCCGGCCGTGGGGCGCTAGCATCGCGCCTTCCTCAGTGGCATGCATTTCTTTGCGACAGAAGCCTGGAGAGCAGCTCCTCTGCTGCTCACACGCTCAGCACAGATGGCACAGCCTACTGTGCGGCTGCCACAGCTGTGACAGCGATGGGCTCGCCCTCACTGGCCCTCAGTCAGTTGTGTGAGCGACACTGCTCGGCGACTGCCGGCACACCGCTGTGAGACCGTGGGTGTGAGGTAAAACCACGCTACCAGCGCTTGGTCACATCAGCCCCGAGGTCAGATCTTTCTACTCTGTTGATGACAAGACTTGTCTACTGGCTGGAGCCGAGCAGGAGGCAGGAGGGCCCGGCGCACAACCCCGCTGTGCAACTAACGGTCCACACACACCACACCCCGTACCCCATGTATCGTAGTCTTTGTTAGTATCGAGGTCTCGTGAGTTTTGGCACTGATAAATTCGCCCGACTCGCGGCGCGCCGAGCCAGGCCACGGCGCTCGGCCTGCTGAGAGAAGACCTTCCCCGACGGCAGTGACAATTTACCCGACATCAATCGTCGACGGCAAGCTCGAGAACTGCGCCTCCAAAGTCGCCCAGATTCGCCTCTCGCGGCGCGCTGAGTGAGTTAGTATCGCCGGTGCGCCAGCCGGCTCTGCTCCACAGCAGGGCATGCCTGACTGGCTCCTGCTAGCCGTGCGTCCTGGTGGCATCCATTGCCAGCTCAGGTAGCCTCAGGAGGTCGCCTCGCGCACAACTCGGCGCCGCACAGCACCGCTCCGCGTTACTACCGAGTTAGTATCGTCGACCCACAGAGACTGCTCTTCTGTAGGTGGAGCCGACAAACGCCGGCCGGGTCGGCCCCGCCGCCCCCATCGCCGCCGCCGGGGCGGCGGCGGCCTCGGCGGACCATCCGGCGCGCCGCGCGCCCGACGGGGAGGTGTTCACCACTCCTGGCTCCTCACCCCGCCACGCCTTCGTGCAGACGCCGTGGCACCCGCCTCAGGCGCCGCTCGGACTCGGTTGACGGCCGCCCAAGTGCTTGGCTCGTGCCCAGCCGACCGGCAGGCGATGCCCACTCGCTGCTAGGCTAATCCCGGGCTGTCAAGCGGCGGTGTGGTGCCGTGAAGGGCAGCGGTGCCAAAACTACGACTATTAGTACCGTGCCCGGGCAGTGCATTTAATTCTGTCAAAAATCGAAATGTGCTCCGTGGGACGTATTGGGCTAGGATCATACGTCCGGGAGGCCCCCCATGCGTGCCGCAACGACCCACAGTTCTGGTACCACTCTCTTCACGTTCACAGCTCTTAAGTGTGCCATAACTCCGATACATGGGGTACGACAGGGCTGGGTTTTTAGGCATTGTGGCATGTGGGGTTGGCACTCCCATCGACCCTCATGACCTCCTGCGGTCTCTGAGATGGACACCAGTGGGTGTGGGACCACAGCCAGGATACACTCGAAGGCTGGGTAAGCAGTAGAGGTCGATACTCGACGCGTCCCACATGGTCTGTGTCGCTGTCGGCACGCTGTCGACAGGACGTCGAGGGACACCGGTGGCAGTGCCACCCAGGAGTGGTCGGGCGGTCTCCCGTCATGAGAGAACCACCATGTGATCCGTATGATGATTCCTCACAACCGCCTCAGTCAACTTTTGTCACAGTTCCCGCTATGAGAGGAGCTGCGGGTCAGTTCGACAGCTGGAGCTGTGTCGCCGGCGTGCGGCGGCCTGCCTCCGGAGGTGCCTCTGAGGTGGACATTTCTTGGTCACCGTGAGAGAACGCGTTCGAATTTTCACTCCGGAACTTCAACTGAGCACGCGCACCGGCCAGGGCTACAATAGTGCCAGTGAGGCGGAGGCGCGAGTCGGAAGGCCGCGACCGTCATACGAGCGTCACCTTGTTCCAACCCACCCTACTTCGTGGACCCCCCCGCCGGTCGGTGGTCTGCCCCCGAGGTGGACCGGACCCCCCCTCCGGTCGGTCGCTCTCTCGGCGGCGGGAGGTGTGACGACCGACCCCCCCCCCCTCGGTCGGTGTCCTTGCCGTGAGCCCCCTCCCTGAAACGCTCTCCCTACTTCTCGCGAACCGCCACGGGCGCTTCGAAATCGCCGGTTTTCACTATGAAAACTAGTCACGCAGCCAAGCGCCAAGGAGACTTCTTCGCCGAGGCCCGAGCGAGCCCGACCCCACACATACATGTGGAGCATCTACGCAGTCGCAAGCCTGGTCCTGCTTGCCGTCACTTTGTACAAGCTCTGGCAGCGCTCCAGTTCTCCGTACCGCGCGCATCGTCCCTTCCGATGACTACGATGACTTGCCAGACTTGATCGACACATCGCCGCCGCCGCGTCACCGGGCTCATCGGCTTCCGAGTCGCCCAAGCGACAGCGAATGGCAATCGATGGACGCCGCTTCTGGAGCAACTCAGTTAATCGCGACATGCTGCGCGTTGCGCGCGGGCAGAGCTATGCCGGCAACATGATCTGCCTCGCACCCGGTCTTCACGTCTCCAAATTTTCGCGCAGGCAGAGCTTAGGCGATCCGTCAGGTCCGATTCGGAGAACGAGGGCGAGGGCGAGGAGGAGGCGGAGGCGGAGGAGGAGGCGGAGGCGGAGGACGAGGACGAGGACGAGGACGAGGACGAGGACGAGGACGAGGACGAGGACAGCGACAGCGGCGACACACCCCTCAAGCTACAGATCAACCTCACGACGGAGGTGGAGGGGGAGGTGGACCTCTTCTTGGAGTCGGAGGAGGAGCAATTCACCTTCGATGAGGAGTTCTACTGCACGCTGCCCCCGTGGGCGCGCGGCCGGCAGAAGGAGGTGCTGGCCGCGCTCAAGCGGCTCGTCAACGGCTACAGTGTGTCGCCGGCGAAGCTAATCATGGACGACGACGACGACCAGAGCGTGGACATGGACGAGCTCGTGTTCCGACCCAATCCTGAGCGCGGTCTCGAGCTCAGCAACTCGGACGACGTCACGAGGAGTGATTAGACGGGGAGAGGTCGCTTGGTGTCTCTAGTATTTCGAGATACTAATTTATTCACAGCTGCGGCGAGCGTGTGCGGTGTGACCCTCGAGCCAACCCGACCGACCCCCCCCTCGGTCTGCGCTCCGACCGACCGGACCCCCCCTGCGGTTTGCGGTCTTCCGCTGCCGCCGACCGGACCCCCCCTGCGGTCGGTCGGTCTGCGCTGGGCGCTCAAACCGCGAAGTCGGCCTGTTCACTACAAGATGACGCTCGTATCAAGTGTTCCCTTCGTTTTCCTACAATCGCTGTGAACCCAGCCACGTACGTGATATATCAATGATCAATGCATCCAATCCGGTAGGCTAGTTCCATTTCACTGTGGCACAGCTCGCGTTACAAAACCTTGATTTTGACCATGCGCGAAAAAGGTACATCTCGGTGCCTTCCAGA